ACCTGTCCGATGGTGGTGAGTCACCACCAAGGTCACAGATTACCCTCCACTTCTTAGTCATCGAAAGGTGAAAAACCAAAGGGTGGCCCTCAAAGAGGAAGTGCCCAGGGACCCAGCAGAGCTGACCCTGGAATGTGGGTCCAGGCCCCAAGTCACACCCCAGCTGGGACAGTGCTCCGAGGTTTGTGCGCGGCACGGCCAGGCATCAGCCTCCACAGCAAAGTACCAGACTCCCAAAGGAGGGCCTGAGGAACACTTAGGAGACCAACTCCTTGGGGCCACTAACCTTCCCTCCCCTGACGCTCTCTAGGGCTTTGAAGTGTTATTTGCCTGGTTATAAGTTCAGTTTCTTCCACCAGATCTCAGCATCCAGAGGCCAGAGCTCATGGCTTCCACAGGTGCTCAGTCCCTGCATGCTGGCTTTTGGGCACAGATTTTGGTCACCCAGAACTCTGGGACATTCACCCCCCTGGCTGGGTGTTTGAGGATGTGGGGGAGGGGCAGCAAGATGGCCATGGTCCCTCCTCTCTTCACCCTCATCCCCCTGACAGCTAAAATCACACCCCCAGACACCTGGCTCTCTGGGCTTCAGACAGAAAAGCAGCAATTCCCAAAGAAGAAAGTACTCAATGGGAGAGGGTGTCCAAACTCCACTCCCTGCTGGGGTACAGTGGCCTTCTAGAGACAGTGGCCTTTGGTAACAAGAGTAATCCTCACAGCAGGAACTTCAGGTGGGCTCTGCTGGGGTAGGGTGTGGGGAAGTTCCATGCAGGCTGGCAGGGAGCAGAATGTCTGGCTGGAGGGGCCTTAGGAGTCTTCTGCAATCATGCAGTAGAGAGGCTGGGGAGAAGCACAGGAGGAGGAGATGCACTTGCTCTGGCTGGGCCGCAGGGCTCACTCCACACTGCACCAGCACGGGCCCTGCACGTGCTGACAGCAGGTAGCTCTGTGGCCCCAGGCTCCAGGTACAGAGAGAGAGGGAGGGAAGGAAAGGAAGGGCATATATGCAACCTGGATGAATGATACCCACACGTGGTGTGAAGTAGGCTTGTTCAAACAGTGGGTTGCAAAATCCATTTCGTGGGTTCTGAGCAGCATTAAAATAAAGTGAAATAAAATCAGGGTGCACTGTATGTGGCACTTTTGTTTTAGTTATATATACTGGATTCAAATGTAAAATATCTTGTGGATTGTGGTTAAAAAAAAAAAAGGCTGGAAGCCACGAGTATAAGGAAAGGGAGGCAACTACTACATGCCAGATATCATGCTACTTGTTTTCATGTATATTATTTTATATTTACTCCTTCTAACAGGCCTACTACCAGGCAGGTGATTCTATTTTTGCCAAAAATAAATCTATGACCAGAGATGGAAAGTAAGTTTTCTTTTCTTTTTTGAGATTAAGGTCTCTCTCTCTGCACTCTGTCACCCAGGCTGGAGTGTGGTGGTGCGATATTGGCTCACTGCAGCCTCGACCTCCAAGGCTCAAGTGATCCTCCTGCCTCAGCCTCCCAAGTAGCTAGGACTATAGGAGTGCACCACCATGCCCAGCTAATTAATTTTTTTTTTTTTTTTTTTAAAGAGATGGGGTTTCACTATGTTACGGGTCTCACTATGTTGCCTAGGCTGGTCTCAAACTCCTGAGCTCATGTGATCCTCCTGCCTTAGCCTTCCAAAGTTCTGAAATTATAGGTGTGAGCCACAATGCCTGGCCCAAAGTAACTTTTCTAAGATCACACAGCTAATAGGTGGCAATGCTAGTTAGGAATCCAGAGCTGTTTGACTCCAAAGGGCACATTCTTCCCACGCCACCATGATTTCCAGTGGAAAGTGTACTGTCCACTGAGTCGGGAGCTTTGGGTTCTGTCCCTGGCTCTGCCGTATAATGGTGAATAACTGCTCTGTTTTCTCATCTATGCAGTAAGGGAGTAAGAGAAATAATTTCTAAAATTTTTTGATTTCATGCACTCTCCCATCCCAAACCTCATTGTGGCAGTATTTTAGTCTCCCCCATTAAACCTTTCCTAGAGCTGCCAACAGCTCAGTCATGAATTTCGAGGGCTACTTACTGCCAATCCCCATTGCACCTACATTTGTTCTACAAAACCCCCTAAATGGCCCTATCTCTGGTAGCTCTGTGTGTCTGCAGGTATTGACTGGTGCTGTTAGCTCTGATCTAGGGACCTGCATCGTGTAGCTTTTCAGCAGAATTATGACTGTGATGACAAGAGACCAAAGGGATGACCTCGACCTCCCTCTCACGGGCCCATGTGGTTCTTGGAAGGGCTGGGGCATCCTAATGAAGAATGAAGGCTACTCTGAGTGTCTGGGGAAGGAAAAGAAGTGCAAGAAGCAGAGTACATGCAGTCCACCCAGGTGACATGTGAGGGACCACAAATGTTCTCCAAATAATGAGCCCCAGAAGAGCAAAGGAAGCCCCGAAGGTTCCTGTAACATAAAGATCATCTTAAAACTCCCTAGGGTTGATGAGGAGTAGTATCTCTGTGAAGTGCTGTCACAGCGGAGGTGTCACAGTCCCGCACAGTCAAACTGCGGACTTGGCATGGGGAGCTTGAGCTGTGGTTCCAGCTCTGCTTTTCTCTGCTCTGCCACTTTGGAGAAGCCACTTCACCTCCCTGTACCCCAGGGATGCCTCATCTGCAAAGTGAGGGGATGGTTTCCGAGGTCACTGCTCGGTCTAATATACTATTATCCATTACTACTATTTCTGCTTTGGTATCAATCCAACCACTTTAGCCAGAGGCAGTTTCTTAAGTGGAAGCAGTAATTTAACAATGACCTCTCCCGGTGCTTTGCTGGAGGGGTTCCCTCAAGAGCCTCCATAAGCATCATCAGAGGTGCTGCACAGGTCTGAGCCGTCTATCTCCCCTTTGTCTCCAGATCTGACTTAGGACCCCAAGAATGCTGGCCAATATCCATCCTGCTCATGTTCCTTCCACCCTTCAAATCAGCAGACAACTAAACATTCACACGTTCATGGGCCACTCCTGTGCTAGTCATGGGCTGGTTCCTGCAGGGCTAAGGGGCTGCATTTGGGCAGGGCCCTGGCCCTCCGGGCACACACAGCTTGACTCCCAGAGCAGAGAGGGCTGCATGCTAACCCTGGATGAGAGTGGGGAGCTCTGCTTTCACAGCCACAGGCTAAGCCCTCCCTGGCCTGCCCCTCCTTACTGCTATTGCTTCGGAAGAACAGGAGCAAACTTCCTGCCTTGGGCTGGCTTTCTTTTCTGCTCAGAGCTATGTGGGGGCATTCTCCAGCAGGCCAGACGTCTAGCCCCTTTAATGACAATAATGATAATTTACATTTATACAAGGCCTTTCATTGGGGGATTTTAATTGCATCGCAAACAATAATTAATTCCCCTTTGCGAGGCTGGCAGCCAGCTAAGCGGGAGCCCCTTTACTCTGCAGGTCAGGGGTGCTTTCCTGGGCCTGCAACATGCTGGGGGTCTCCCACCTAACCTGACACCTCCCCACCCTCAAGGCCTGGCCTAAGCATCGGGGCCTGGGGCCGCCAACTACAGTCCATGACTGTTTGTCCTGCCCCTGAAGCTCCACAACATCAATTGTTGAGCCACTCATTTGGTGCTAACCAGAGAACCTTGCTATTGGGCGAGACTCAGGATCTTGTCCAAGGCAGTAGCACTACTCGGGGGTGATCCTCGGCCGCTGCCAGAACACCTTTCATGATGGAGAGCGCGCTGCTTAAAGGCGCCTCTGAGAGTTACAGGGTTCATCTCTCTCTGGAACTGGAATCTGTCCCCTCGAAACTTCTGCCCACGGGTGCCAGCTCTGCTCTCTGGAATGAAGCAATCCTACATAACTGTCTGGGGTTGCTGGTTGAAGTTTCTGGTACGTAAGTTGTCTATTTCTGTGGTCACCCTTGGGCGGAGCTTGGTGGCTTATACTTCACTGAAGTTCAGGGACACTTGTCAACTGAGTGGTAGGGGCAGCCGCAAGCTCCATCACTGGGGAGTGCCGAGCTTTCAATGCAGCACTTCAGACTACTCTGCCCCAGTCTCAGTGGTATAAACACTGGAGGCTTCTGAGTTCATTTCACTGGGGCTGCACCTCAGTGACACCGAAGTACCCTCATTTTCTGTTGAATGACTGAATGAACAGCCTTCCTTCCTAAGGATCTATTATTCTTAAGTTCATGCAACCACTGTCAATTGCAAGGGACTGGTTTTTGGAGACCGAGTCAGACAATAATCCATTTAGTTTTTTTCTTTTTCTAAACCCACTTTATCAGAATAAATATTTGGTGCTAAACTTGAGAAATGGAAGCATCAATGCTGAGCTGGGAACTGACCCAGGGCAAGGAACTCCACAATCCTCCTCCTCTCCAAGGAGTGAGAGGCAAGGGTGGGGCAGAGGGGCAAATGAAATCCTTTGCTAAGTTTATTTTTAAAAAGCTAGATCTTCTGGGGAAACCAACACTCCCTAGAGTGATTTCTGGGTCCCTGCTGGTTTGCTTTTTGCCTGAAAAGACACCGGCCCTCCCTCTGCCAAGAGCACATTGTTTGGGTGAGATTTTTCTCACACTGGCTTACCATGGAAGGAATTTCGAGCATGCATTAAAGGCTGTTGTTTTCCTAAAACCTGCGCAGTATGAACAAGAGGTTTGGCTAGTGGTGACACGGCCTCATTCTGCTTAGATTTCACACGATTCCTATCTGCCTAGAATTGGAGTGAGCATTTTTGGCTTGGGTTTGGCCTGGATTGTAGATCTGGGGGATGCTTGGGAAAAGAAACATGGGTTAGAGACGGAGCCTCCTGGTGTCATTCTGTGGCAAGGAGAACACGTGGCAATCATTCCCTATCTGATTAAGTGGGAAGAACGTGGATTTTGGAGTAAGAGAAAACTGAATTCAAATGTGGATCTATTACTTACTAGCTGTGTGTCTGGAAAAGTCCCCGAGTCTCTGTTTCTCTCCAGTGACCCCACAGTAGTTGTTATGAGTAGTATGTTATGCCAGGCACATGGTAAGAACTCAAGCCTTGGTTTCCTTCCTGCCCAGCCCTCCACTGCCATCACATAGCTACAGACACACACACACTGAGGACCTCCTGTTTCATGTTAACTCATCAAACAGTTACTGAACAGCTCTTATTAACAAGGGCCTGGATCTCCTGGGGACACTGTCCAACTAGTGTCTGGTACCAACAGGTATGTATGCAAAGTGAATTAACTAACTTGATACTTGCTATTTTATAGTTTAGAATGTGCTTTCAAAATAATCTCATTTTAATCCAAGCAACAATCATGTGTATGAAATCGATGCCATTACTCTACTCCCCCTGTATACATGAAGGAACAGGCTTGGAGAGGAGTAACTTGCCCAAGGCCAGGCACATGATAAAGGCAGAACAGGACTTGGAAGCCGCAAGCCTGTGTTCTGAAGACAGCACACTGCTAGCCCTGGAGGGTATTCCTGCCTTCTGCAGCCACTGAGGGCTAAGGCTGAGGAGCAAGGGCACGGCTCTGGGCGCACCCAGGTTGCAGCCACTGAGGGCTAAGGCTGAGGAGCAAGGGCACGGCTCTGGGCGCACCCAGGTTGCAGCCACTGAGGGCTAAGGCTGAGGAGCAAGGGCACGGCTCTGGGCGCACCCAGGTTCCACTAGAAGGCACCCCACTGAGTGACGCTGCCAACCTATGCCTGGCCACAGCAGGCTGCAGCTAAATGTGAGGCCATCACCGTGGGCCCGGCGACGTGGAGTAGTAAGTTTCTGAAATTGGAGACATTGGCCAGCAGTCAAGTTTCTTTCTCTCAGGCCCTGGGCTCCGGTCCTGCCCTGATGTGCACAGATGTTTCCAGGTTGACTTCACTGGGCTCCCACTGCCCTTCTCAGTGTGCGTGACTGCACTGATATGCAGGTACTGTCCTTTACCTTCCCATCACATCCTTCTAGGTCACAGAGAAGAAGTGCTATGGGCGGCGGACTCTAACCGTTCCTTAGCAGGGTGCCCTGCACATGTCAGGGGCTCACAACAGGGACGAACTGCATTCCTTCTTGTTCCCAGTAGGCTCTTAAAACCAAGTAATGGGACAGGAAGCAGATGTTGGTCCTGGGTTGCTGTCAGCTCACTGCCTCTTTCTTCCCACTCCTCTAGCCTCTGAGCTGCTGGGAACCGCTGATAGATGCAGAATTGAAAGGGTAGGACAGGAGTCTTTCAAAGTTTGCCCATATGGCTGGCCCAAATACAGTTTCCAGCATGAACTGAGCGGTGGAAATCGGATCTGACCACAATGCTGCAGCACCCACAGAGTTCATCAGTCTACTCCAAGCCATTCTGACAACACTCCCTGCCAAGGGTGGGTGTCCCGAGGAATGCCGTCACTGCGCACACTGCGCAGCGGGGAACCCAGTGTCTCGGGGATGAGGTCAGTTCCCCCACCGTGAGCCTGTCTATTCTGGACCTCTGAGCACATTTCCCTGTGCTGCAAGTGTATTGCCTTTGAGGTTGAACCGTGTGGAAAAATCATGTGCACTCCTTGAGCTGAGCTGAAGCTGGCAGGAGGAGCCAGGCCTTGGGCTCTCCTGCGTAAGCACCTGGCCTACAGCGGGGCCTATGGCATCTGCGGCCAGAGGACCAGCTCTCTGCTCGCAGCATGGGGCACCAATCCGTCAGCCCTGACTCCAGCCACACTTGCCTTGCAGTGCTGCTGAAGGGCACAGGGATGAAGAGGTGTGCTGGTGGCTAGCCTAGTCCGCTGTGTCCTCAAAGACCAAGGTCAAGCAGAGTTAACCTGTTGTTGCCCAGCTAGGCCCCTGAGGGGACCCCTCAGACTTCTAACATGCCAGGTACAAGGGGCGCAGGGGGCTGTGCATTTTTGGACGTGCAGCTTCTGCCCCGCACAAAGGCATCAGGCCAAGAGAGCAAGTGGGGGCTGAAATTGAGCCTGTGCTCTGCATGCTAAGCTGTGTGCTCACCCAGGGACAGAGGCTCAGATAGACAGCTTCTTCTTTACCTAAAGCTAACTCCACCGGCCCAAAGTGGGAGCCTTTTCTTAGTTTGCACAGAGGTTCTTATTGGCCAAGGTGACCCTGAGAAGACCATTCAGTTCTGTGTGTTGGGTTCCCTATCACACACCTGGTGCACTAACATGGGTATGGGGAACTTCACTGGATGCAAATTCTATAAAGTAGAACCTTGTTTGGATGATTTTGGGGGAAGAAAGTGAAGATTTCTTCCTTCCTAATTTGCATTTTAAAAGACATCTTCAGAACCCATTCTTGTTCTCCTTGCCACAGCCTACTGCACTACCCCACCGCTTACAGTTAATCTTTTCCATCCCATTGGAACGAAGGCAAACACACACAGCCCAGGGGTGAGGTGGAGTTTGGGCAGCCCTACAGGTTCTCCAGGACAGCATTTGGCTCCCTTTCCTGCCGTGTTTATCAAGCAGAAGAATCAGCATTCTCTTCCAGGCAAGTACAAATGGGTGTCCCACCTCAAACCATGCCACTGAATACAGTCAGACCTACACAGCTGGGATATCTTTTCTGCAAAACTGGTGGACACCATGCATAGCAGAGCCATTAGACCAATAAACAAATACAGACACACAGCAAAATAAACTCTGTAAAAATACAGCAAAATAAGCCCCGCCCTTTGTAAAGTTCAACAATCTCAAAGCATGCTTTGTTTTCTAACTACTACAGGATGGAAAGAGGCCCATTCCAGTGAGCCCCTATTCCAGGACCTCTTCCTAGTCAAGAATTGCCTCAAGTTCAAGAGCCATAGAATGCTGGATTTGAAAACCCTAGAGCTCATCTAGCTCAGGGATCAGCAAACTCTTCCTGTAAAGGACCAGATAATCAATATTTGCAGCTTCGCAGGCCATACCTGTATTCTGTTGTAACAATTCAACTCTGGCCTTGGAGTGATAACAGCCAGAGATGATATGTAAATCAATGGGTGTGGCTGTGTTGCAATAAAACTTTATTTATAAAACCAGGCAGCTGGCTAGCTTTGCCCTCAGGCTGTTGTTTGCCCATCCATTATCTAGTCCAGCCCTTCCTTGTACAGAGGAAAAGAGATGAGGTCACTCCTTCACAGTCACAGGGCCATTTGGAGGTCCACCCAAGACCAAGACCTGACTTTCAAGGCCTGGTGGGAGGAACAGAGATACTACTGCCAGCCTCAGAGCCACCAAGGCAGAGGCCAAAATGGCTGCTTGGATAACGAGAGATTGACTAACATGTCCAACTTCACCAGAGAGGACCAAAAAGCAGGTGGAAAATCACAAGTTAAAATCTATCCACAGATTAAATCTACAGGTTAAAATCAAATGGGACTGGAAAGACAACCTGCATATCCAGCTGAGCCTGCAGAGATCTAACCATCGGTCACAGCCTCTAAGCGTATGCTGCTACTGTTCATTCATCAGTTAGACTCAGGCACAACCTTAAAATGTCTCTGGTGAAGAAAAGGCTGGGAAACAGGAACTGGAAAGTCACTGGCACTTGTCTGTGAACAATATGAGAAGAAAACAGCAAATTCATGTTTTCCAGTCAGCAGCTAGTCAAACCTCTAACAGTACGTAAGTGGTCAGAGAGGACAAGCCCTCTCATCCAGGGCTGAGAACAGGTTGTTTTGGCTGTCAAGCATTTTCAAAACAAGTTTTCTTGGTCTCATGACAGGTTGTGGCAAGAATAAGAAAATAAAAAGAGTGGAAGATCCCATGATCGCTGCCCTGGGCTTCCATGTGGGCTGGCCCCGCCTGCACAGTCAGGTTTGCCTTCAGTGTTCAGATAAAGCTGGTCTTAAGGTTAATACCACCTTGCCAGTGACACCACTGAACAAAGTGATTCCTCTAAGAACTCTCTGGCAGCCAGATAATTTTTCTAGTCTGGGAGGAATAGGTCAAAGTCACTCTTAAGCCCAAGGATGCTATTCTGCTTGAACCTACGCCCTGTTTTGTTTTAATTTTTACCTCATGTTACGTGGATGAATTATTCCCCTGAAACCGAGGTGAAAAGCTATCTGCTCTGAATTGGATTTTTCCATCTCAACTGCAGGACGCTTGGTCAGGGTGGGGCAAAGAAAGCAGTGAGGAGGCACTAATGGGGACAGCCATGAGTAGGCTGGTAGAGAAAGTGCCATTGGCTCCTAGCAGCAGTGGTGCCGCTCGCTTTTAGGAGACGAGGGTCAAAGCATAAAGCTGAGCATGGCAGTGCCGGAGGACACGCAGCCAAGTGGGGGTCTGGGGGATACTCATCGGGTAATCCAGTGAAAATGACCAGAAATCAACCAACAAGAGTGCTGAGAATTCTCCGATCCCCTGAGCTATTATCGGAGAGCCCAAAGTAGTAGACAGACACCTAGACCTGAGTTCAGACTCAAAATCTGTGACCTTGGGCAGAATTCTCCCTTGTTTCATTTCTAAAGTGAAGCAGCTGGATTATCTTTCTAGCTCTGATATCATGATCCTGAGATTGCCAGGGCACAGGGCACTGAGTCGTTACCATCACGTGTGGATGGCTGTGTCAAGTCACTCACACACGTACCTCCCCACAAGGGACAACTCAAGTTCCCGCTGTGAGCGATGTTCCTGGAAGAAACCTGAAGAGGATGCTCTGCCCTGAGATGTGCTCGTATCCTATGAGACACGTTCTCAGACCACAAAGGCTGTCTTCGTTCTACCGATTGTCTGTGGGAATGTTCTGAAGAAAGCAAAGAAAATCCCCCATAAAGTCTTTAAGTTGGAGGACGGAAAGGCTGATGCATGTTCTTGCCCAGACAGAGGGGGCTGAGGATATGTGAAGCCTGGGGCAAGACATTCTTCCTTGCTGCACCCCCACCCCACCCCTATTCCCACCCCCACCCCCATTCCCACCCCATCCCCACCCCTACTCCCACCCCCACTCCCACTCCAAAACATGCACAGTGGGACCCATCAGATTTGATGTCTCTGCCTAGGAAGTGATTGGAAGGCCCTGCTCAAAGCCTGTTGCGTGGAGCCTTTATCACCTGAGAGACAAGGCTAGCAGGCAGGTGAGCCTCTTTCCCCAAATATGGGGAACAGGTTTGTTCCGGCTGATTCCTGACCTGCCCCTCAATACAGGATGCCTGGTTAAATCTGAATGTCAGATAAACAACTTTTTAGTATAAGTATGTCCTAAATACTGCATGGGGCATACTCACACTAAATTATTTGTTGTTTACTTGAAATTTAAGTGCACCTGGACACGTTGCATTTTTAATTGCTAAATCTGGCAATTCTAACTGAAGATCCAGAGTGGGATCTCTAAAAGCCCTGGGCATTGAGGTGGCAAAGAAGGGGTGAAAGAACCCAAGCCAAACATTCCTTTACAGTGTTCCATGAGTGTGACCCTTAGTTTTGAACTGTGTTTATTAATATTTCCAAGGTCAAGGAGGATCTATTATGATTTACATATCAACACCACAGCAGATCATTATACCAATATGCAATCTGTAAACTTACAAAAAACCTGGCTGGGTGAGGTTGCTTATGCCTGTAATCCCTGCACTTTGTGAGGTCAACATGGGAGGACTGATTGAGCCCAGGAGTTAAAGACCAGCCTGGGCAACATAGCGAGACCCCATCTCTAAAAAAAAAAACCAACAACAAATTAGCCCAGTGCTATCGTATGGACCTGCAACCCTGGTTACTTGGGAGGCTGAGGTGGGAGGATCGCTTGAGCCCAGGAGTTCAAGTCTGCAGTGAGCTATGATTGCACCACTGTACTCCAGCCTGGCAACAGAGTGAGACCCTGTCTCTAAAAAGAAACAAACAAACAAACAAAAAAACACAACAACACCACATACACAAAGAAATACCTTATTGCCTACAGAAAAAAAAAAGATCAAATGTTTTAGCATGGTGAACACCAACAATATGCCAGACATTTTACAATCATTTCAGCATTTAACACAATCCTCTGTGAGAAAGTCAAGGCCCACAGAGATTTAAAAACAAACAAACAAACAGACCAACCAACCCTACTAGAAAGTGGTTGAACAAGGACTTGAATTCCAGCCGGTCTGATTCCAGAGGGCATGTTCTCTGTACCCTGAATATCTCCTCTCCTCTCCTCTCCTCTCCCCTCTCCTCTCCTCTCCTCTCCTCTCCTCTCCTCTCCTCTCCTCTCCTCTCCTCTCCTCTCCTCTCCCCTCCCCTCCTCTCCTCTCTCCTGTCCCTCCCCCTCCCCTCCCCTCTCCTCTCATTCCTCCCTCCCTCCCTCCCTTCCTTCTTTTCTCTTTTCTTTTCTTTTCTTTCCTGCCTTATCTACTGCTCTTGTCTTCAGCGGACCCTGGCATACCTACCGAAACCCCCATGCGTCCCATCTTCTGGGACTTTGTGCACTCTGTTTCCTCTGGAGGAGTGTCCTCCCCTCTCTGCACATCAAATCCTACCCAGCCTCCAATTTCAGCTTCCTAGGTCTCAGGAAACAGACATAATCTCTTCTCCTTGACTCCTAGTGCTCTTTCCCTGCACATCACCACCTTAAAGAGAAGACTCTATGTGCAATTCTCATCCTTCCTCTAGTTCACTGAAAGCAGGGACTGTATCTTACATATCACTTAACATCGTATCTAACACCTACTTTGAATTCAATAAACATTTGCTGAATGAATGAATGGGAAAAGTGATCTAGGCTAGTGATGTGGGCAAAATCTAATTCAATGTTAGCCACTACAAATCCACACTGGGGCATGCCAAACCTGAGTGTCAACCAAGGCAAACAGCCTAAACCCTGCAGTTCTAAACAGAGAGCTGAGCTTAGCTGCCTGGTAAATTTGGGATAACTCAGACCATTAATCTGAGGAAAAGAGGTGGTGTAGTACGAAACCAACCTAAAAGCTGGGAAAGCCAAGGTATATGCTCAGTTCCTACACTAAGTTACTCTGTGACCTTGAACACGTCACTTCCTTTTGCAGGGCCTCAACTTCATAATCTGTGAAACAGGTGTAATAGCAGTACCTAGCTCATAGGGTTGTTACGAGAATTACAGAAATTAAAAAACATAAAGCATTTAGAGCTATGCTGGTGTATTGTCATTATTCAATACATTTTAAAATTATTATTGTCTATAAGGTGATCAGGAGGGATTGGGTGTCCCATCGTTTATTGTGAGAAAATATGCATGTTCCTGTAATGCTCACTTTTCTGGATACCTGGAATAATGACAGTTTAAGGCTTATCCAGTCCCCCAAATGATCAATAATGCAAATTTGGGGTTTTCTACATTTTGATTTTGATTGTTAGAAGAACTACATAGCTTCCCGCTTTGCAATTCGGACTGTACTCAGTCTACTGAGTAGTTAATGCCGTGGACAGCCTCATTGTCAGAATGTAATCTCAAGCAGTGATGGACCATTCCAGAAATCAATCAGCAGGCTTTGAGTTAGTGCTCTTCAAAATGTGTGTGTATGTGTTAGTCTTCAGTGCTTTGTACATATTCTGTATGCAGTGAGCTCTTACACATTTGCTGAAGAGATTGAGCAGTAACTTAACTGCAGCTACACACAGACTGTAGGCTTACTAGCTGCTTCTGGATCAACTTGAGGAAACCACTGTTCTGCCCAATTCTCACAATCATGGCTGCTGTAAAGCCTGTTCTTCCGAGGGCCAAGGCCCTGCCCATCCATGGCACACAAGGAGACAAACCACTTTTTTTCCTCAGAAGTGGCTTTGGATTACAGACTACCCTAGCTCACCCCCACTCCACTTCTGCTTTCTTGGCATCGATTTTCCATTAGGCATGACTAAGTGCCAGAGGTTCTGTCTGTCTGGGAAAATAGGAGTCACTGGAATTTTCTGTCCTCTTCTCAATGTGCAGCCTCCCTGCTGCTTTGGAGGCAGCAGTACAGTGATGCCTTTCCTTCGGCGTGTTCCATTACAATACTCCTTCTTCTCTTTTGCCCATGGATGCTAATAATAAGTCTGGCCACAGGAGCAAGTTACCTTCTCTTAAAAGTACTTGGTTTTTAGACTCTCAGCAGAGCTATTGCTGCTCACAAACACCCTGGGTTTTCCCCATGGACACAGAGGCCTTCAGCCTCCTGGGTGAGCCACTAGGAAGAAGGTGCCCATGTCAGGCCACTCCGTGGTAGGTGGATGGGTACACGGTGCAGGCTAAACTCCTGCCCTTGACAGCTCTGTGCTGTTCCTGTGAGCAAGGGAGCAGGAAAGAGGGGAAAGGTAGGAGGTCAGAGGTGGCTTGGGCTGGGCTTTGGACCAGGAATCAGGGGCATAAGGTTCTAATCTTGGTACTGTATGCCTTGCACAAATTCTTCTAGGAAATGAAAACGATGAACTGAAAGTCAACTCTAGGCCAATCGCCCTGCTTAAGGGTCTATATCGATTATTTCATTGAATGTCTGTCACAATGGTTAACGTTTACCATATTTGGACCTGGCTGCACGACATGATCTCGAAGATTCCTTCCACGTTCCATGTTCTGTGGCTGGCCCCCACTGTCACACTTAGCTTCCTAGGATGCATTCCTGCTTAATCACCCAACTTATCTCTGCTGTTGGTTGTGGATTTTGCAGGACAGTGGAGTAGAGGTAACTGCCCCAGTGAGTTTTCTAAATTTTGGTTTTGATTTTTAGAAGAACTATATAACTTCCTGCTTTGCAATTCTGAGTCGTACTCAGAATTCTGAGTAGTTAATGCCATGGATAGCCTCATTGTCAGAATGGAATCTCAAGGAGTGACAGACCATTCCAGAAATGCAATCAGTAGGCTTTGAGTTGGGGCTCTTCAAAATATGTGTGTGTACGTGTGTGTGGTAGTCTCCAGTGCTTCGTACATATTCTGTATATAGTGAGCTGGATGGTACCTGCCTCCCATTTTTGCTCACCTCTGTAAATCCTCTACTTTAATAAGGCATGAATCTAGTTCATTTTCACAGGTGGCCCTTGTGCTGAATGATCTGACAAAAGACAAGACAGAATCTTGTTTCTGCAGAAGCAAGGCCTCTGCTTGTCATTATGATATGCACACAATGGACAATCCTGATTGTTCTTTGATGCTTCCCTTTTTTCTAGAATTCATGCCTTAATGAGAAGTGATAGAAACAAGCGGCTTGGCCCTCCTGCCTTGGCTGGACTCCACACATGACAGCCCTGAGCAGCCCTGGCGGCACCTGTCAGAAACTAACACACACATCTGAACAGTCAAGCCTAATTCCCAAGAAGCTGTTTTAACTTGACATCTGAAAATGCATTGCATCTAGAATTATTTTACTGGGTGTGTGTTCAGGGCATATGTGTGCACGTTCTGCAACTGAAGTGTTCTATAAATATCAGATATGAGCTGTACAAAAAAGTATCACGTACATGATGTACTTAATTCCATTTAGTAATGTTTTCAATTTGTGTCTGACCTCTGGCAACAGAGATGGAAGTTTCTCAACATGAATAAAAAAGTATGCTCAGCTACCTTAAACAATTTTCACTTAAAATTCCAGAAATATATTAGAGCTTAGTGATTACCAGGTGGGTACTAGCCCAGTACTTTCAGAGGAGGGTACTGAAATCCAGAGAGGTGACGTGTCTTTCCCATGATCGCGCAGGAAATTAATAATGGTCCCTAGATGAGACTCAGGTCACTTGACTCCCAGGCCATTATCCTTTGCTTTTTCTTGACTACTGTATGTTTCTTCCCCCAACTGTTCAAAAGGAACTCTGATTCCATTAATAGCGTATGTTCCTACTATGGTTTATTAGAAAAATCCCAAACCAGCTCCTCTGCCCTTTCCTTTCTGACTCTATAGGGCATCTGTCTATTTTTCCAGGAAAGAGAATACGTGACCCTAACTCACAAGCAAGGAAGTTGCTGTCCTTGGCGATCCCAAACACTTCCCCAGTGGTTGGCGGGGTAATTGGAACCCAAGCCTGAACACTCAATTGTTCCTGAAAGGGCACAACTAAGTTAATTTTCCCGACAAAGATGTGCTGACCTTCCAGTTGCTCTTTTTTTTTTTTTTTAAATTTTTATTTTTGAGACAGGGTCTTGCTCTGTCACCCTGGCAGGAGTACAGTGGCATGATCTTGGCTCACTGCAAGCTCTGTCTCCCCGGTTCAAGTGATTCTCCTGCCTCAGTCTCCTGAGTAGCTGGGATTACAGGCGCCCACCACCATGCCTGGCTAATTTTTGTATTTTTAGTAGAGACGGGGTTTCACCATGTAGCCCAGGCTGGTCTTGAACTCCTGACCTAAGGTGATCCACCTGCCTCGGCCTCCCAAAGTACTGGGATTACAGGCGTGAGCGACCACGCCCAGCCCAGTTACTCTTTCTGTGTGACTATCCTGGTAAGCGGAGTTCAGCGTAGCTTCTTCTGGTTCGTGTGACTGAAGAAGCCAGAACAAAAGCCCTAACTGTTTTCCACTGAGAAAGCAGGATGAACAGGGGGTGCAGTCTTTAAAACAGCTCTCAGAGAAGCTTCCAGGGGAACCAAAGGAATACAGATGGAGGGCCTAGGAAGAGATGGCCTGAGGGGACCTGCAGAAGGGATTTACCTGCCGCCCCTCCCCCAGGGGAGCCAGGAGGCTCAGCTGCGCTGTAAACACTCCGTGCCTGGTGCAGCCTGGTCTGCACAGGCTGAGAGGATGGTGAGTGGCTTCCTCTGGGATGAGGGCTGTATTAGCAGTAATTGATGGCCAGGCTTTTTAATGGAGCTTATCATTTCACTGCAACAGATGTCAGGTTCTAATAAATACCACGTTCTCACTGACCTACGCAATTTGGAGAGGATGCCTGGATGTCAGGCAGAGCTTGATTCCTCCCCATCTCTGTTGCTCTCTCTTCTGTAAGGAAAAACAAACCAAACCCCTTTAAGATACTTTTCAAAGGGATTCTCTTTGAGAGTTCAAGGATCCAATAATTTCATGTTATTTAGATGATTTGCTTTTCTCTTCACAGCTCTACTTCTAAACCCCATGAGGAAAAGGCCCAGGAGGGACGGGTGAGCTTGCTCATGCGGGAACCCAGTCCGTGTGGAATGGACGGCCTTGGTGACCTCAGTCCCCAATTCCTGTGTCGCTCACCAGCACTGACTTTATTATCTTCTCGGGGGCTCTGATCACCCAAGCTATGCTGGCCTGGGCCTGGAAAATTCCCTCATCTCTCTTGTGGGGAGTTCAGCTGAGATGAGGTTGGGATTTTTGAAAGGGAACTATTCCTAGGAAACTCAGGGCAAAACAGAAGAAAAAAAGAAAACCCACGAATCGTAGCACCAGTTGGGCTTGCAGGCTCTGCCACGGAAGTCTGCAGTGCGGAGCTTCCTGGGAGCCCAGTCCTGGTCCCTTGCCTACCCCAGCGCACTGCCTTCTGCAGGCTCTGTTCTGCAGCTGTTCCCCACGTGCAGAGGGAATGTGGGGGGTGACCAATTCCAGCTAGCCACGATTCTCACCTTCTTGTTGCCTCCTGCCCCGCCCAACCCTTGGGTACCAGATGGGAGTTCCAGGAGTACGCCATGAAGGGGAGGGACAGGTCGGGGAGTGAGTAGTGATGAGGGGGAGAGAGTGTTGAAAAGTCTCTATCAGGTTTTTCCCTAATAGCGAGTGGTGTCTGGATGAGAAGCGCACTGCTACTGGGGCTCCAAAGCTGGTTCAGCCCAGACTCCTTCGGGCCAGCTCACAGGGCACAGGGGCTGCAGAGAGAAGCCCGACTCTGTAATGAAGTCTCAGCAGAGACAAAGCATCATGTGAGCTGCCTTAAGGAGCTACCTTAAGGAGTGAAGAAGACAGCAGTGATTAATTCCTGGCGAGACAAACACACAAATGGGCTCATATTATAACCTCTTATACTTCTTCATGAACAGCCCTCCTCTAGCTCTACCCTAGTCCCCTAGGAATTCTCAGGCCTCAGGGATCCTAGGACCATGAACTGGGATTTCCACACTGGGCTCCATGGAGTCGCAGGGGGGCCAGCAGGGCCTCAGAAGACAAGGAAGGCGGTGTCAATGAAGAGCACATCGGGTGGGACGTCTACCTTCTTTTCTTCAATCAAGGGGAAAATATCTACTTTTTAATCTGTTTTATTTAGAGGACTAATGCATGAGACCAAATTGAAGCATTGGCAGCTAATGAGAAGTTCAAAGAAAACAGTGTCTTTGGGAATATTAAGTAATGTATTAACGATGAAAAACAATTGAAATAGCCTGGAATGTACACTTTTAAAAGATTCTTGAAAGAATTTTTCCTGCAAAAGTGATTCCGCAAAGATAACGAGATAAAAAAATTTAGAAGTATGCATGGTGAACAGCAACATATAAGCAATTATGAACTGCTTTCAGAGGGTTTGGATAAGTTTTTAAATAAGAAAATAATGTCTCTTTGTGACCTTGAGGGAAGAAGGGAAACAACAAATGATTTTAGGAGGTTCATAATGAATTACTCCCATGTGTTGACTAATAAGCTATTTTATTTATTTATTTATTTTTTTTTTTGAGACGGAGTCTCGCTCTGTTTGCCCAGGCTGGAGTGCAGTGGCGTGATCTCGGCTCACTGCAAGCTCCGCCTTCCAGGTTCATGCCATTCTCCTGCCTCAGCCTCCCGAGTAGCTGGGACTACAGGTGCCCGCACCACGCCTGGCTAATTTTTTTGTATTTTTAGTAGAGACGGAGTTTCACTGTGTTAGCCAGGATGGTCTCAATCTCCTGACCTCCTGATCTGCCCACCTCAGCCTCCCAAAGTGTTGGGATTACAGGTGTGAGCCTTTTTTTATTTTTTTAAAGTAATGTTTGGTTTTACGTAGACTAAGCAAGGATGGAGTTGGAATTTTTCCACTTTTCAGCTGGTTATGCTGGTACCAAGAAGATACAACCACAGGGGATGACAGTCCATTAATGGGGTGGCCTTAAACTTTGGGAGCTAGCCAAGTTACCGAGGTTAAGGGACTGTTTACTGGGGTACATATGATGGTATCAATATTGACTCTGTTTTTAATTTTAAAATCTCTATTTTTCTCTAGGGATGTTGCTGCTGATAGCTAAAAATGATCAAATTCTTACCATATACTAGACTTTATGCTGGACAATTCACTGACATTATCCCATGTAGTAGGCAGAATTCTAACATGACCCCCAAGATTCTCCATCCTCTGTGTAATCCCCAGGATTGTGAATATGATGGATTTCATTCTGGTAAACAGGTTTTGTTATATGGCACAGATGACTTTAAGATGGGTAGCCTTTAAATCTGTGACTAGCAGAAGAGACATGAAGGCAGATATTCAAAATATAAGAGGGATCTGATGCACCACTACTGGCTTGAAAATGGAGGGGACCACATGGCAGAGGACGCACGCAGCCTCTAGTTGCTGAGGGTGGTCTCCAGTTGACGGTGGCAAGGTAACAGGGGCCTCAGTCCTACAACCACAAGGAACTGAACTCTGCCAACATACTGAAAGAGCTTGAAGGAGAAGCGTAAGCTTCAGGGGTGAGATTGCAGCCCCAGACAAAGCCTTGATTTTAGTTGCCTAAAACCCTGAACTGAGAACCCAGGCGTCTTGTGTGGGACTCCTAACCCACAGAAACTGTGAGATTAATAACTAGGGGTGTTTTAAAAGAGTTAATTTATGATAATTTTTAAATTAGCAACACAGAAAATCATACACCCCAGGTGATACCCATCATAACCCTCTGAAGTAGGCTTCACCATTTTATAGACAAGGAAACAAAGACTCAGGGAAATTAGGAATTTGCCCAAAGTCACAGAGCCTGTGAGTGGCAGAGACAGGTTTAAACCCAGCTGTCTTGACTTTATGGTCAGTGCTCTTCACTGCCTCATGCATTTCCTCTCTGTATGAGGCGAGAGCCTCAGACACATGGTAAAAAGAGTATGGAACTGTTTCCGTCTGCCTGGGTGTGGATGTGCAGAAGGGTCAGAGGACCTGTGTTTTTGTTTTGGTTTTAAATGGTGAAAAGATATATATTTAGAATTAACTAGCTGGATTCAGTTTAGATGATCCCAATATGCCTTGTTCTCTCCATCAGGCCTGATCAGGGTGTTGGCTTTGGCCACATCAGTGTCACTGAGCTTCTTCACAGCCTGTTTGATCTGGTGCTTGTTGGTTTTGACATCCACAATGGACCCAAGTTGTGTTGTTGTCTTCTATCTTCTTCATGGCTGACTCAGTGCTTGGGGAACCTGATGATGTATTATTGCTCAAGCTTGCTTCTCCTGGGAGTGCTTTTCCAAGGATATTTCAGCTGCCTCCAGAGCCACACTGTCTTGGGCCACCGGAAGGTGGGTCATATGTGGATCGGATCTTCTTTTTGTGGCTGTGGACATCTTTAAGCACTGCCTTCCTGGCCTTCAAAGCGTTTGCTTTGGATTCAGCAATGGGAGGCCAAGAACTTCTTTTTTCACTTTTGGTGCCATCATGTGAAAATGAGGACCTATGTTGAACCCTCACTCCTCTAGAAGCCAGCTGTGTGCCCTTGGGCAAGTCAATTAATCACCCTGAGCCTCAGATTTTGTAATCTGTATGAGGCGTACTAAGAATTTCTGCATTACAACCCTTGAAGGGCTGCAGTTGACGATCCCATGAAAGTGTGTGAGGGCCACTGTGAAAGAAGTCCACAGGGCAGATAGAGGCACCTGGATGTCATGTAGGTATCGTTTTCTTTTCTTGATGACTGCCAATTTCAATATCCTCTGCCTATAGGTTGGATATAATCACTTTGATGGCTTGTTTGGAGGAAGTCATTTTAAATAGTTTTTTTTTTTTTTTTTTTTTTTGGAGAGGAAATGATTCTTTATTACATTTATTGAAAAACTACAGAATAAGATGGAATGTAATTTTTTTTCTTGAATTCTTTAAAAGGTAGTTGACTATTAAAAGCCAAAGTAATAACAATGTATTGTGGAATTCATAAAATACGAAGACTGAAAGTGTGTGAATATGATAGCACAAAGGTAAATAGAAAGTATACAGATGACTACACTGTTTATATAGGAAGCATTATAATATTAATTCATGGTAGGCTGTGATAAGTTAAGAGTGTATTTTTAGTGTATAAATGACTAAAATACACAAGGAAATATAGCTAACACACCAACAGAAGAGAAAATGGTAAACTAAAAAATACTTGAATAAACTGAAAGAATACAGGAAGAAAAGAATAGTGGAATAAAAAACCCCCCAAACCGAAAATATGAATGGCAAGACTGTAGGGCTTAAACCCAGTAAGCTTATTATTTATATTACATGTATAAATGAAATACTCCAGTTAAGGCCAGGTGCAGTAGCTCATGCCTGTAAGCCCAGCATTTTGGGAGGCCAAGGCCGGTGGATCACTTGAGGTCAGGAGTTTGAGACCAGCCTGGCCAATATGGCAAAACCCCATCTCTACTAAAAATACAAAAAATAGCCAGGTGTGGTGGCGTGCGCCTATAGTCCCAGCTACTCGGGAGGCTGAGGCAGCAGAATCACTTGAACCAGGGAGGCGGAGGTTGCAGTGAGCCAAGATCACGCCACTGCACTCCGGCCTGGGTGACAGAATAAGACTCTGTCTCAAAAAAAAAAAAAAAAAAAAAAAAAAAAAAAAAAAAAAAAAGGCCGGGCACAGTGGCTCATGCATCTAATCCCAGCACTTTGGGGGGTCGAGGCAGGTGGATCACGAGGTCAGGAGTTCGAGACCAGCCTGGCCAATATGGTGAAACCCCATCTCTACTAAAAATACAAAAATTAGCCAGGTGATAGTGGCGCAAGCCTGTAATCCCAGCTAATCAGGAGGCTGAGGCAAGGGAATTGCTTGAACCCAGGAGGCGGAGGTTGCCGTGAGTGGAGGTTGTGCTGAGCCGAGGTCACGCCACTGCACTCCAGTCTGGGCGACAGAGCGAGACTCCATCTCAAAAAAAAAAAAAAAAAAAAGAAATACACCAATTAAAAGGTAGACATGTTAAGACTAGATTAAAAAAACCCAAGGTCTACAAAAGGTTTTCTTCAAATATAAAGACACAGATAGGATAAAGAAAGGATGAAAAAAATATATACCATGCAAAAAATACACAGAAGAAAGCTGGTGTAACAATTTTAATATGAAATGAAGCAGATTTCAAGTCAAAGAATAATGCCAGAAATAAAGAGTCATCTCATAATGATAGAAGGACCAATTTATTAAGAAAACCTAACAATTCTAAATATGTATCTAAAAATAAACCTTTAAGATATAAAAAGCAAAAATTAGCAGAACTAAGGGGAGAAACAGACAAATCCAAAACCCCACAGGTGAAAATGTTAATACCTCATTTTAATAACTGATATAATAGATATAAAAAACCAGTAAAGAGCTAAAAGATTTGAATAACACTAACAAGTAATTTAACTTAGTTAATGTATATATAGAACACTATACCCCAAAACTGCAGGACACACATTCTTTTCAGGTTTACATGGAATATTTATCAAGATAGACCACATGCTGGTCTACAAAACAATTCTCAACAAATTCCAAAGGCTTGAAATCATACAGGTTATGATCTCTGACCAAAATCAAATTAAACTATAAATCAATAACAATAAGATATTTAGAAAAATCTTTCTAAACACTTGAAATTCAAGAAGCACAACTATAAATAACCCATGGTTCAAGAAGAAATCACAAGGGAAATCAGAAAATATTTCTAATAAAATAATAATGAAAAACAACATACAAAACTTTGTGGAATGCAGCTTAAGCAATCCATAGAGAGTAATTTTATATTAAAAAAATAAAAAAGATTAAAATCAGTGACCTAAGCTTCTACTCTAAGAAACTTGAAAAGGAAGACATTAGAAACCATGTACTGCCAATCACTTTGACAACTTAGACATGATGGATCAATTTCTTATTTAAAAACCTAGCTTGCTAAAACGAACACAAGAAGAAATACAACAATCTGAATATCCCTACATTTAGTAAAGACACTAAGTATTTTTTGCACAAAGGAAACCTTACCAAACATTTGGAAAGAAATAATACTAAATCTGCACAAACTCTTTCAGAAAACAAGGAAGAAATCTGCACAAACTCTTTCAGAAAACAAGGGAAGAAGGAATACTTTCCAGTTTATTTAATGAAGCCAGCATAGTACTGATATGAAAGACCTGACAAGGACAAACACGAGAAAAGAAATTTTAGACCAATATTATTCATAAATGTAGATGTAAAAATCTTAAAATTTTAGCAAATCAAATTTAATAATATA